TTGCAAGCGATTCTATCCAGGCTTTGTATCCCATAAACACATTTTGAATTGCAATATGTGAGGCCCCACTTCATAATGCTCCATGTCATTTCCAGTAATTTAATAATGTGGAGCAGGTACTGCTATTTAAAATTCATATGCTACATTAATATTCATGCTGGCTATATGTAAAGAGTAAGAGATCTCTTTAAACACCTTGCATGTGTTTTTAGGATTCATCCATCAGAAGATTGGATTCAGGGTTAGATACCCAAAGTAGTCTTGAATGGCATCAAAGGATTCATCCATCAGAAGATTGTGAGTACATCTCATCAAGAGACTAGTGATTACTTTTCTGATGAATCAAGACGTATACATTGCACAAAATGTGACCTAATGCATATGTGGAAGTTGAAAAGCTGCTGACTATGGCATACACTGTTGGCCTCCTTGGAATTGTAAAGCTGCTAACTGTGGCATAGACTGCTGAACACTTAGACTTTGAAAAGCTGACTGGTGGCCACATGGAAGTTGAAAAGCTGACTGTGGCAACTACTGCTGCTGCTGGACACCTGGAAGTTGAGAAGCTGATTGTGGCATAGATTGGTGTCCACCTAGAAGTTGAAAAGCTAACTGTGGCATAGGTTGCTGCTGCTGGACACCTTGAGGTGGAAAAGCTAACTGTGGCATAGGCTGCTTCTGCTGAAATACTAGATGCTTGACCATTTTGAGAAGGAAAAGCAATTTGCGAGGGTCCAGGTGGAGGCAATATATCAGCTAAAAATGTCAACAGTTGAATCAAAATCAAAAGTATCCCCAAATCCCCCTGACCCTGACATTGGGTCAACTGAAAATGATGGTGGTTCAGCAACAGTTGTAGTGAAGGGTGATGTTGGTGGTTAAGCTGAAAATCCATCAGTAGAAGGAACAGCTTTGAAAGGACCATCACCAAACGGATCATCAAATGCCTGCAATCAATGTATAAAGAGTGTAAATTTACAACATAAACAAACTATCAATATGTGTGTGTAGAATCCAGCTTTTAAGACACTCACGCACCCGACTTGTCGATGAGGTATCGAAGGTGAGATGAGGATTAGTATTTGCTGGAGGATGAACTTCAGTGGTTATAGATGAAGTAGATGTTACAACAGCCAAAGCATTTGAAGAAGAGAAAGACTCTGATAGAGAACCAAACAAATCCTCCATCTCTCCACCACCTGATCCTTGCAGGGCAAACGCAAGGGCAGGAGCAGGAACAACACCACGGGGATCAAAAAAGTCAAACCCATCGTTTTCATTGTTGACTGTCACTGCAGGTGGTGGCGGCGTAGTGGTAACTGGAGGTGGTGTGGCGCGGCAGCTGGTGGTGGTGGAGCAGTTGCTGCCGGAATTTCTTGATGGTTAATGTTCACCAGTCCTTAAAATGCTTACAAGTTAGACTAGATTCCATTACTTTATATATATATATATATATATATATTATATATATTTATATATATATATATATATATATATATATATATTACAATTTACAAGTAAATAAATCTTTTGACTTATTAATTAATTAATTTACCTCTTGGTATCAACAGGGCTATGACCGTCACTCACAACATCTTCATAACTAGGAGGCCCACCAACATTTTGTCCAGATGACCTTGGTTCAAGCCCCCTGCCCTCACCACTAAAAAAGAAAATTTTGTTCAATGTATTATATATATATATATATATATATATATATATATATATATATATATATATATATATATATATATATATATACGAGGGTATTTTGGTCTTTTAATCAAAAAGCAGATTCCTTCGACCCTCTAAATTACCTTCCATCTGGAGAAGCATCCTTCAACTATAGCACCCAGATAACCATTTCTTGCTATAACAGTAGCATAGTTATGATTCAATTCACGAATCCAAGAATTTAATCTAATTAAACTTTTATCAGATCAGAAGTTCCTGTAAGTTCAGGAGAGTAATGCAAACAATTGTCACACTTGGAAATGCTTTGAACCAAGGAACAACAAGAGGTCAATATTTTCATTTGTTTATTTTATGTTATTAAATATAATAATATTTTGTTATAGTTGATTTTGACTTAGACTTTGACTTTGATTAATTTGGTGTCATTTTAGGCGCTGCTATTTGGTTCAGATTTGATTAATATGTTGTATGGAAAATAATTAAATTTTAAAATAACAAGATAATGTTGTGGATAATTAATTAATTTTTGGTGCTTGTTGACAAACTACCTGAACTCCTTGATTTCTCCAAGGATCTTGACAGTTTGGAACCTGCATCAAGGGTGGTGATCACAATTAATCTTATTCAAATATTTAGAAATTTAAAACATGTGTAAATGTAATTAAGAATTTATTGATTATTTATTATTTTTCAGGTACAATTAAAATATTTGGCAGAGGAAATGCAAGCTATTAGCAAAGGACTTGAAAAAGTTGTCCAGGAATTGTCAATGGCTAAAAATGATGGACTTGTCTTTGAAAAATTTCTCAAATTAAGAGTTATCAGTACACAACCGTTTATGTAGGCAACCTTAGCCCTGAAGAAGTACTTTTTCTACAAATATTGCTTAAGGTAGTGGAGGGCCTTTATGTAATGTGATGGATCAACCTCTTTTAAAGTTTCATCTACATCTAGTTTTATTCTTCTGACATGCTTTTTGTATTTGGTTTAACAGCTGAGGATCATAATCAAACAAAAGCCTTGTGTTGGTGTAGGGCCTTTATGTAATTCACAACAGGTTTCCATGATGGCATGAAAGTGGTATTAAGTATTTGCATTTTTATTATATTATACCCCTCACATTTTCCCAAATTACCCCTTCCTCTACAATGTTTTTTTTTTGTTTCTGTGTATTTTGTGCATTAGGTAAAGTTGATGGAAGAAAGGAATATGAAGCCACTTGATTTAAATCTTGCAGCATTATCAGCAAGATGCAGTAAAGACTTGGAGTTGAATTTGGCTAAGTCATTATTGAGTGAGATGGGCCAATGTACAATTGCATATCCATATAATCAGCTGTTTGGAACATTACTTTTAAAGAATTATGAAAGGCAAGATGCAACTTTACTTAGTTGGAACTTGATGTACATAGTAGATTAGATGCAAATTTATATATTGTAAGAAATAGAATTATATGACATTAAATTTATGCAATGGATTCTATTTTTTGTATATGATATTTTATTTTCTATTATGAAACATTAAATAAAAATTTAATTTGAAAATAATTAAATCTATAAATAATATTTTTTTTAAACATTTAAAATTATGATACGCAAAAATGTGTGTCATCTTCATTTATGACATGGCCTTTCTTGATAGGGGCTTTCTTGATACGCATTGCGTGTCATTAACACGCGCGTCGTAAGGTTATGAGACGCGAATGCGTGTCGTCTTCCTTTATGACAGGGCCTTCCTTGATACGCATTGCGTGTCGTAAATGCGCGTCGTAATTGCACGTCATAAATGAGCGTCGTAAATGCGTGTCGTCTATAGACGATGCGCAAAAGCGCGTCGTCTTTCTTTATGACAGGGCCTTCCTTGACGCGCATTTGCGCGTCGTCTGAGCCTTTTACGACGCGCAATGAGCATCGTAAAAGGCTGTTTTTCTAGTAGTGAGACAATCATACTTCGTTCCAAAACAAGTCTTAAAGTCTAGATTGTGACATTGAGTGAATAGTATTAAGAAGGTTTATAACATTCATCAATTGTGGAAAGTTGTGATGTCTTGAATAAGACAAAGACCAACTAAGACCAATTTATGAAGTGTTTTGATAAAAACTACACTAACTCTTGAATATTTGTCAAGAAATGTTTATTGACAAAAGAATATTATATGTCAAGGAGTCAGTGGGAGTCTTATTGGTCTGGAAAAGTTTCAAGAACAAATCAAATAAACCTTATCAATCATCACTGGCACACGAGTTGAGGTTTACAACCTATCGTGTTGACGTTATCTTGTTTCTGTGTTGTTTCCAATTGAGTTAATTATGCATGTGAGTTCTATGAGTTCTCATTTTGAACGCATAAAACGCAAGGCACCTTGATCAATGAAAGGTACATTGATAGGAAAAAGGTGAGATGCTTAACTACTTGGAAGACGTGGTGGGCAGCTGTGCTACCATAAGGCAAGAAATCAAGATTAAGAAAGTTCGATCCATATAAGTTTGAATTTGTCGTAAACTTTGGTTTTTAACAAATTCACATGGATAGGAACAGATACACTGTTTAAATCTAAGTGTCATAAGATTTCCTCCTTCATGAAAATGATTGTGAGAAAATGCTTTCACTAAGAAAGATTTTAAAAGATAGTGATCGTAAAATTGCATTCTCGAATTCGATCATGGTTACGGCATCCCTTTCCATAATTTGAATTGTGAGGTTTGGCAATTAGTCTTAATTGTTAAGACACACCTATGAACTATCTAAGGCAAAAGTGTATAAGTTCAAGAAGCCTTGATAAAAGATTATCAAAGCACTAAGTATTAGAAACATGAACTTAAGAAATTCAATAAGTATTGTTTTTCTGAAAGTTAAGATGTTTATGAATACATGTCGAAGCTAGTGGGAGCATAAGTGTTATGTTTTATAATAATCATCATGATAGTGGGAGCATAAATGTTATGATTGTATGATTATTAAGGCACGTATTGCATAGTTGGCAATATTAATTATAGAAAAGAAGAGTCATACTTTGCAAAGTTGTAAGAGTTGAAAGGTTGTTTTGCTATAATTAAGGGAGAGAATATTATGATTCATTTCAAATCTAAAGGATTAGGTTGAGAAATGTTAATAAACTTAGTCAAGGGTACATAGTGTGTTCTTAAAATTTCGATTATGATTACGGCATTCCTCTTCACAATTCGAATTTTGAGAACATAGCAAATAAAACATTATGCGTCGTGTCCCATACGCTTTGGGTATAGGATCGATTGCAAATGCTTTAATGTTTGACCATTCTAAAATTTTCCAAATGTCTAGCGCATTGAGAGGGAAAAGGGACTAGAATCGGTTTTGACTAAAATAATTAAACAACTATCAAAGGACAATCCAAAGTTCGACGAGGATTGGTCGCTTGTGAGTAGTTGGAAGTATAGTATTGGAAATTATGGAAATGTTTCCATATTGGATGGACCATATCGACATTATTAGGAATAGATAAGATTCTATTAAAAATAAGTTGTCATATGGAAAATATGGAAATGTATCTATATTGGGAATTGAATATTGAAAATCTATGTCTAGATTAGAAACTTTTATGCAAAAGGATGTTCAAAGGAATGTACTTTGAGTGAGAGACATCATATCTAAGGAATTGTCTTGTAACAATCTACGTTAGAGGACTTTGTAATATCATTGGTAATAGTCTTTGAGACTTTGGTGCAGTGACATTAAAAAAAAGGATCGTTGCATAAAGTGTTAGAATCTAGTATATTCTATAAGTAACAAGAATTTGATATTCTTACACTTAAGAAAATGGATTTGGGGTTGTAAAATGAGAAGGATTGGAAACGTGTTAAATTTGTCTATTTCACAAAAGTAAGAACCATAGGTAAACATTGTGTGCATGCTAGGAGCATGGGACAAGTGTTGGAATTCAAGTAAGAAGTTGATTACCCGAAACGACAGATAATGAGTAATCGATATGGTGATAAATAAAACGTGTTTTGGTTATACTCAAAGGTTTGAGGCCATATGGAATTAGTATTAGTCTTGTGTTTCACCTTGCATGTTTTGACTTCCAGAATAATTGAGTTTATTAAGAATAATCGAATTATTCGAACGGGCCACAGTCGTTCATATGTTGGAAGTAAGTATGAATGAAGACTATCGTGAATTGGTGTGTGGATTGTCTAAAAGAGTATTAGACATAAGCAAATGTTTGCTGCAACGTTCATGAGTGCTTATGAATATGATTTGAGCATTGGATTAAACCCACGCTCACTTGGATCACTATCTCGAGTGATTAGTGAGACGATAACATCTTATATTCTTGAAACCGAGATGTGTGAGTTGTATCTTGCTAATCGGTTACACATTGATAATATGTAAACGCACTAGTAACTTGGTGTTATAAAACATATTGTTGTGTGTGATTTGGTTAGTGAGTGCAAACAAGCATTGTATCAAAGTTTATCCGTTCCTTTTATTCAAAGAATAAAAGCGATATCTTTGGGCCCCTCGATGGTTTAGTGATGAAATACGTAAATGCTCGGCCGGGCTAGGGCTAATTTGATTTGTTCAGTTAGTCTGTCGTCATAAATCGGAAATCGAGATATAGTACAAAGAGAATGATTTGAAATCATATCTCATACGATATCTAGAATGGAGGAATATATGATCCCTTATCTAAGGACACGCGTATCTGATATGATTAGAGTTGACAGCGGCTTTGGAAAGCTACGATTGCAGATCAGGATCTGAAGTCATACGCAGAATAGTTGTTAGACTTATCCAAGTGGGAGACTGTTGGATTAGTGTCTAAGTCCATAACTATTTTGGTATGTACTTGACCCAATGGTGCATGGTCCTTTTGGGTTGCCTTCACCAAAGCAACTTGATTGGAGAAATGAATAAAGAGAGAGAGGATAATATGATTTATTAATATGTTATAAGAATAACATATTAAAGGAGAAATCATATTTGTTTAATTAATATTGGTCAATAATTAATTAAGAATTAGTTTTGTGATCAAATGTAATTAATTAAACTAAAGGGCTGATTTGTAATTATGTGATAGTTACAAAATAAGGTAAGGATTATCTTATTTATATGGTGGACGAATTTAAGGTTGGAAAGCCTTAGAATTCGAGTATGATAAGGATTCAAGGATTTTCTTATTGGTTGCTTAATGGATAATCAACTAGATAAGGATAATGACTGAAACCCTATCTCTACACCTATATAAACACCCCTAGGGTCATGAATTCGTGAATCCCTTCCCAAGAGGTCCTAGATACGAATTCTAACCTCTCACCTCTCTCTTTATACCTTCTCCATTTGCTTATGGTGTTTGTGAGCCATTAGAGGAGTGACACTTGTGACTCTAAGCATTCCAAAGTCAATCCAAGGTGGAGTTGTGATTGTTATTGCTATATAACAATCAAGGTATGTTCTTAAACCTAATTATATGTTAATGTCGATTTCCATATGTTAGAATTAGGGTTTATAGTCTTGGATTCAAAGCATGTACAATAGAGAAACCTAGATCCAAGCATTAGGGTTTGTATGAGCACATAGGATGTCTTATGACCAAAACCCATCAATATGTTTATGT